CAAGGAAAAAATAAACCCCCCCCCCCCCCCCCCCGCCTCCAGAAATAAAAATTACTATTTCTTTCTTTTTTACCAAAACAAGTATGTTTAGGAAAGGATTTATAGGTAATTAGGTCTCTTTCTGAAACAGTTATGAACTAAATTATTAATGTTTTGGAACTGCTTTAAAATATTTAAGAGTACAGAATAAATGCATGTCAAAAGGGGGGGAAAAAAAGATTTAAACAAAATGTAAAGAAGGAACAAGGAAGACGACAACATTTGACACACCATAAACTATGACTTAAACAGGAAAAAAGAACCTGCCACTACCATTTGCTCCAAGTGGCTGCTTATTCTATTTTATTTGCCAGTTACTGCTCAGGATTCACCTGGATTCATCCATATCACTTTGTCTAAAATGCAAATAGCTAGACATGGGAGAAGACAGGCTCCCCCCACCCCACACGCACCTCTTGCTTTTGATCATTTAAGTTGATATTCTGACTTCCTAGAAACAGTATAGCATAAATTCAATAGTGACACTAACTGGTAATGTTTTCCAAATAAAAATATGTCTCAATAGGCTAGTGACAGAGTATCTAAAAAATTAATAACATCTTGTAATTTTTAGTTTGGTTTCTATTAACAGCCATCTTCAATCAGCCTGAAGGTGTATTATCACTGATTTACACTGATTCTTATGTAAATGTAGGTGCTCTGGTAGGGTTCGAAGGTGCTTATTTGAATGGAGAAAAAGCTGGCAGTAAAAAAGGTGAACGCTAAGAAAGAGAGCTCTCACAAGGGTAGTATTACTTAATTAAAACACTGACTATCATTAACCTTTCCAGACCATTAAGGAACACCATAGGGCTCTCCATACATGGAAGGAAGATAGCAAGAACAGGCCATCTCATAAGGGGGAAAAAGAATAAAGGCAACAGCAAATGGGTATTTCCTTGAATTGCTTATACAGAGATTCATAGCTGTTAGGGGCTGGAAGGGACCTTACAAGATCATTGGGTTCAGCCCCCCCTGCGATTAACTATTTGTACTGATTTTTTTCTTGTGCAGGGGCGAAAATGCAAACATTTCTTTGGTAACATTATTAATACCAAAGTATTTGAAGTTTTCCCTTTGTTGCTATGCCAGTGTATCAATAATAAATGATGTGCTGACAACCTATCCACGTGGCAGGAGGAAACAGAATCACTTCCTAGGTCACGTAATCACACTGCATAATTGACTAGTTTCCAAAGTTACCTTTTCTTGTGCAGGTTTGAGAACATTTTCATTTAATGTCTGCCCTAACTCTGACGCCTATTTAAAAGCAAAACAAAAAACAAAGTCAGTTATATTTTCTTTCATAAAATACAGCCAACATTCTCCAAGAAACTAGCCTGCAAAAATCTCAAGAACAAGAACAGAAAAGCCTTAAGCTTTGCCTCAGACAAGCAACAGAGTGAGCTGAAAGCACACAAAATGCAATGCTACAAAAAATGTTATAGGAAATAAAAACAACCCCCCCCAAAAAATAAATAAACCCCAGATATGCAAGGCTGTAAGACTGTAAAAGCTCCCAGAGCTCAAGAAAGATCTGTCTTTGATCGAGCGACAGAAGCAAGCACCAACAGCCCAGAGGGTAGCCCCATTGCTAAGTCCTGAGCCTTCACGCGTAGTGGGAGAAAAACAGTACTCGACTCT